CTCACGTGTTATGCACTACATATTTTTTTGAAAGCTTTATTTTGTGATGCTGTGAAGCATTGTCTTGTGAAGCTTTATTTCGATCATCGATGCGCATTTCGGTATGACGATTTTAGTACACATTTGCACAAAGGTTTTGTCTAATCATAGCTGTTTGAGACGAAAAGTCCTAAATGTACGTCGTACTCTGTGGGCAGTTGTATAAAGTGTACCGGTGACACGTCTATGGCCTTACAGTAAACAGAGCTTGACCTGGACTGCAAGCTTGTTTCATGTATGTGCCGTTTCGTTCGTTTATTATTGGTCGTTTTATCGGTCGCTTATTGGCCGAGTAGTTTAAAATAAGTTAAGTGCATTGCGTGGTTCTGTTCAGTTTTGTGTGGTTGCGCTTCTACGTATCCTGTCATACATTACTGTATTTTCTGTTGTATTGTATTGTATGTTATATGTATTCATTACTGTATAGAACAACTGTCATAAATGATTCATATTTCTATGTCAGTCGAATCAATATTCGTGGAGTTGCGCAGCGTATGCATGAGTATAAAGTATATGTACACGAATAGGTGGCACAACTCAAAGGATATTTCTTCGATACACCTACACCACGCATGCTATTGTATATCTACACCATAAATGGTATGCATATGCCTTCACCACGTATACGTATGCAGACAACTTCATCACGTTAGCGCATGCCGCCATTTCAGAGGAATGCCAAGCTAAATGCCATAAACCGAAAATTTGCACCACAAGAAGGGATACTTGCCACAAGGGCTGGTGCTGCATTGGGTGAACAGGACAACATCGCCAGACGAGTCAACTGCATCAACGACCGCCGGCTGCTGCCGTCGACAGAAGATGAATGGTGTTTGAGCTACCCATTGACTGCCAGGGTGCGACATCCCCATGTTTTCAAACTCATGGCCTTCTTGCCAGCCCGTGTAGAATCCTTGACACGCATGCATGTCGAAATTACATTCGGCGGCTTTTTATTAGGCTTTGTACGAAATACAATAATGGAGCCGTCTGCTGCTTTCCTGGTGATTTCTGACTGTTTAACCCTCACCCTGACAGAGGTGGGAGGTCGAAGCGACCCTCTAAAGTTTTTAGAGATTGTACAGCACGTTGGGCGTGATTACACAACGTGCTGGGCGTGATTGCACAGCATGCCTCTCCTGCATCGTGTGCAATCCCGCCCAACTTTTCAGCTAGGTAGACTATGGGGCATCTTTTGCGCGTATTTTGACTCCAAAAAGGTGTCCCCAGCATTTCTGATTTCGGAACAGGGGCAATTTAGGAACACTGCACGCCAATCTGCGACCTGCGCGTGCGGCGCGCGGCGACCGATGATGTCGCGAAACGTGCGCGACGGGCCGACATTAATACATTAACGGAGCGATACGTCGCCAGATATGATGAAAACACATACAACTATACGCCATTGCACTAAGAATTGGGCAATGAACACGCTTGATTAGACGATGTGTCTCTACAATGCAAAACCTCGTATGTATGAGGATGTAAAGCTGAAAAGTGAGATTTTTGGGCAAATTTTGCCCTTGGGCATAACTGGGTCAATTTTTACCTAGCGACATACAAATCGCTACCAATCGCGAGATTTCTCTAAGGCCAGCTCCCTGAATTTTCCGCTGAGCCATATCTGTCTTAATTTGGTAACGCTAGGGGGGGGGGGGGGCAGGGCGCATTGATTCCCCTTCCAGTCCGCGCCATGAAAACCGCGAATGAAGAAGGTTAACCTGTGCCACGGTCGGTAATCACTTTGATCCTCTCGTCACCAGAGAGTGTTTCGCAGGCAATACAAGTTTTGAATTTAGGGGTACAACAAATCCTGTTGACCTAGGGTCAGGTATGAAGGTCAAAACGAGGTCCAACACAACTTGTTTGTTTGCTCCAGAGCCTGCTGTATGATATACTTTCTGCTGCTAACTTCGAGTTTATTGATGGACGGGACCGCACAAGAATCTTCTACGGACTTTTTATAGGTCAGGCAAGGTTGGTGACCTAAAATAACCCAGATCAACATTGTTTTTATATACCGTCTAGCTAATGATTTTGCACACCGCCGCCTATGGGGCAATATTAATGTCATTATTCCTCGTAGAACAAACATTCATGTGTGTTAATTGCAGCAAATAAATAGCTATCTCTGAACGTGCGTAATCTCAGCAATGTTGCTTGAGGCAGGCCGCGTGATTGTGTGTGTGTGTGTGTGTGTGTGTGTGTGTGTGTGTGTGTGTGTGTGTGTGTGTGTGTGTGTGTGTGTGTGTGTGTGTGTGTGTGTGTGTGTGTGTGTGTGTGTGTGTGTGTGTGTGTGTGTGTGTGTGTGTGTGTGTGTGTGTGTGTGTGTGTGTGTGTGTGTGTGTGTGTGTGGTGTGTGTGTGTGTGTGTGGTGTGTGTGTGTGTGTGTGTGTGTGTGTGTGTGTGTGTGTGTGTGTGTGTGTGTGTGTGTGTGTGTGTGTGTGTGTGTGTGTGTGTGTGTGTGTGTGTGTGTGTGTGTGTGTGTGTGTGTGTGTGTGTGTGTGTGTGTGTGTGTGTGTGTGTGTGTGTGTGTGTGTGTGGTGTGTGTGTGTGTGTGTGTGTGTGTGTGTGTGTGTGTGTGTGTGTGTGTGTTCGTTCGCGTTTTCAGCCTGTGGGGCGAAGATTCCGAACGTGCTGCGATTCTAATATATTGAGGTCTGCATTGTCTTCAACTGTTGCTCAAATGTATTTTAAACTTTGTTTTTATGCGCTATACTCCATTACTACGAGTAGATATACCAAGGGCTCTGCTATTCATGTGCACGATCTTCGTAAACGTCCGTCCCCAATGCACTCATTTAACACGCGCCCGGGTGACCGGCTGAATATGATCGCTCGTGGGGGGTCAATTAGAAGAGCCCCACTAATATCTTTAAAATAAGAGACCTAGAAGTATCAAATTCATGGCGTAGAATGGCCTTGATGTGGCCTCACTTGCGTCAAAATTTGAAGTTTTTATGACATGGCTGTCGGGTAAAATAAAGTAAATAAAGTCAAGCTCTCTAGATTAGTGTCCGAAGTGCCCTCAGACCTCCTCATGCAGCCGCCTCGAATCTGGATACCTGCTCTCACCGAAAGGTCACTGGTGTTTACTCAAGGTCAGTGACGGTGTTTGAGCTTCAGGTCATGGCGACAAAAAGCCTATGAGCTTGTTTTGCTTTTCGCACTTAAGTAAGCAGCAAACATTACTTTATGCGTAACTTGTTTAGTGCATTTGTGAGAAACATTAAACATATAGATGAGGCAGTATTAATAGTCCTTTTCCATGCAGAAAACACAGGAGAAGGGAGAGATGTGTGATATTTCGGCTACATCCCTTCATCGAAACGAATATCGGTAGCAAATTGCAAATTGATACCAATCCTACTGAATTTTTTCAGATTTAAAAAAAAACAGCGAGCCACAGTTTTCACAGGGCACCAATGTTCAGGCGATTAAAGAAGGAGCAATAACCACCCATTTCTATGGTGCGGTGCACGTTAACTAAGCGCTGAAATGTGCAAAAATATGTGTGCATTAAAGCGAATTCAAGTTAACAGTCATCACGAATGACACATTATTCATGCACGCAAAAGATTTCAAGTGACCGCTCGCATATTTTTTTCTTCTGCTGATGCCTGGTACTGGCCACCGAAAACCGTGGACTTAGCCGTCTGTGTTTCGGCAGCAGTGCTGTGTACTGGCCGTTAGGGCAAGGTGACCCGGAATGCTGGGATGCTCGTGTGGCTCGGGTGTTGTTCGTGGTGCCCAATTATCGTGGTGCACAGTTTTTTATCATAAAGACACTCGGCATATGTCATCACAACCTTTCGCCTCAGCCGCCCGTGTCTCGTGCAGCCCTCAGCATAGAGCCATGGTTAAAGGTTAGGATGTGTGCACTCTAATTCTTCATTACTTTCGGCATCTTCTAGTGACAGTCTCTGCACGGATGCAGAGCATTCCGCGAATTCGTGTTTGTGGTTTACGAGTGTAATATTTTATTTAACCTCGCACAACCACTCTTACCCGTAATCATAAGCAACGTTTGAAACGTCGAATACTGTCGGTATCACCCATATTTGCTCTACAACGTTGTTCAGGCTGCGCCTGCTGGTATTTTGAAGTTCGATAACTTTATGCCGTCGGTCGACATCGGTCATCTATAACTCAACGGTTGACGCTATGCCCGAAGCGTGTGCAGATATATGGAATCGCTTAAAAAGGCTGGATGACGACCAGGACAAGGACACGGTAAAACGAAAACGAAAGGGAAGCCAGTAGCCAGGGATGCAGTTTGCCGGACCGTTTTGATGGGCTCAGCCACCTGGATTCCACTGGCATGTTATGTTGTGTCAATAAGCCGTTCTAGTATAAAACGTGCTTTTTCACTGTTGTGTGTGCGTGCGCACTTGCGCGCGTGCGTGTGTGCGTGCGCGCGTGCGTGCGTGTGTGTGAGTGCGCGCGTGCATGCACGCGTGTGTGCACGTTTGTACATATAGAAAACTTACGTTAACATCCGATATGGATGCAATTATAGAATGCCGAGCATCGACACCCGGCCGCGATGATCTGCTGCGGAAGGACTACACAGAATACCGTGCGAGCATTGTCGCTTTATCTTACAACTTGTTATCGGCATCGATCCACCAATTGTTCTTCAAGTGCTGTTTGACATCCGAAATAAGACCTGTGATGGAAAGCACCGCTTTTGACGGCGAGCTTCATGTCTGGCTCACGTAGCTTTGAAATTTCTCGGGAAACCGTGTCGTCCGTTATTCTCCGCGGCTGGGCTGAGAGACGCAGCAGTCCGCTGTCTGGTGTGGTGAGGCCCGTAAACAACAACTGCAGGTGATGTCACCACATCGCTGCAAATGTCATGAAGCATTGAGAACTGCATCGTTTTCTGACATTTGGACGCGGCTGAATGATTGACACCCCCTCCTCTTTCACCCCATGTTTGTCACTATATAAGGTGATCGAGGTTGGTTCGGCCATAAGGTGTCTAGCCTCTCACTAGTCATGCGTTTGTTACCCTTGATTGTCGTGTTCTGTTTGGTGCTTGTCACCGTTGAAGGTGAGCCTCTGGCTACGTAACCGGCGCTTAGGTGGCTATCTTTCGTTCGGGTGGGGGTGGGGGTCAATTTCACCCTCGAGATCTCAGAAACCAAGGAAGTTAGAAACACCAAATTTATAGGGTAGCCTGGCTGGTATGTAAAACCACTTGTGTGAAGAGCCGATGTCCCCTGACAATAAATGACCTTTGGGTCAAATAGAGTCGAACAAGGTCAGGCTCCAGATTGGCGTCTAAAGTGCTCTCAAACCTCCCCATGTAATCGCCTTGAAACTAGATAACTGTTCTAAGCAAAAGGTAATTATCGTTCACTCAAGGCCAATGGCTTATTTCTTTTGGAAAGTCGTGGCGCCCAAAATCCCGCAAAATTGCTTTTATTTTACATTTGAAACAATGTCAAGGACCATGCTAGGTGTATGTTTCTAAACAAATGTTGACCTGGGTCATTTTAGGTCAGTGCCCTTCTGTGACCTCTGAGAAGCCATTAGAAGATGTCGATTGCGTTCCTTGTCAGTCATAATTTCGAAATAAGCACCCGAAACTGCCCTATACAGCAAACTCTCGAATTAAAAGACCGGTTATTTTGATCTTCATATGACCTCTATGCCCATTCCTATGTCAACGGAATCGGATGTAATCCTAACTTAATCTTTTTAAGCACGTAGTAAACTATTTCAATTATGTACGGCCTCGTGTAATACTTCGTTGTTGCATCAGATGCATAATTTTTATGTTAAGAGATCCGCTGTTCAATTGCTCTTAGCTATGCAAACTTTGCCGCCGCTACGCCGCGCCGATCTAAAATTGTTCCGTAAAAAATCTTTGGGGAGTAAAACTGACCCCGTCAGGCTGCGTATTAATTCTTGCCAGCGTTACTTGATTTTCTTCAGTCGAACTGCAAACCATTATGACTATGTTTTGTGAGTTGATCGTTTGCAGTAACAAAAAGTCAAGGTATAAATGTTCCTATAAAGTTTTTCCAAGTCAAACATACTAAATGTCAAGTTCCTGCGGTAGTTAACAAAACTACATCCCTGTAGACAACATCCCTGGAGCACGTTTCCGAAGATAATTTTGTGTCCTCTGTCCATTTTTTTGTCATATGTCAACAACCTGACCTCAAGAAAAACGTCATAGATCACAAACCCTCAAGGTTAATATACTCAAGGTTTTGCAAGCTGCGTAAACATAATGTAAATAGCTACCCAAAATTTCAGCACCGTGCTCAAAACGCCCAGAAACTATTCCTGGAAAATCTGGGTGGGGCTCTGAGCCACACTTCCCTTCATAGCACGAGGGTCAAGAAGGCCTCGAGGGGGGGGGCTCACTTTGCCAGGGCCAGAAGATTTTTGCAAAATTATTTTCGGATGGCGTAGCAAGACCACGCCAAATTTTGCATACCTGAGAGCAATTGAATATTAAACCGTTTTATATAAAAAATCATTTGTACCTTGCAAGGCTGTGACCTACGGCAGGTCAAAGTCAGGCTGTGGCAGTCAGTGAAGGCATTTTCTAGGGTTCGTTCAATCGAATGCGACAACGGAGCGTTACACAGAGCCATACATATCTGAGATAGTTTTTCAGACAAGTGAACATTCGAAATTAGAATTGTAACCTGATCTATACAAATTCCATTGACCGAGGGTCAGGTATGACAGTCAAATCAAAGTCAAAACCAACCTGCTTTTTTACTCGAGAGCTTGTTTTTTTAGAATGGTTTCTGGTATTCGTTTTAAATATTTGGTAGCAGGGACCGCAACAGACTTCTTCCATGGACTTTTTAGATGTCAAAGTAAGGCACTAACATGAATAGACCCAGATCACCCTTTGTTTTTAGCAACGTACTACCTAACTTGGTTGTTAATGCTTATTAAAATTAAAGAATGAACACAATCTCGTAACTTTTTGGTTACTTTTACCTCCTGAAGGTAAAAAACGCCACTGAGTTAAAAATGAACGCCAGTAGCCTTTTTCTTTGAACAACTATTCAGGTGCAAGGCAGTTACATGAGAAGGTTTGGGGACGCACAGAGCACCAGTGCTGAGTTTGACCTTCTTGTTTCACCTTATTTGTCCCGAAGATCATGAACTATGGACATCACATTTTCACAAATGATCTCGCACACAGACCAAGCCACCGCGTAGATTTGGTGTCTCTAGGTCTCTTAGACTTTAAGATTTGGGGAAAGAGTGAAGTTAACCCCCACCACTGAGAAAAGAGGAATTAAAGCGTCAGAGGTGTGGCTGTTTTTACCCGTGACGAAAGGTAACCACTCGATGCTCTTTCAGGCGGCCGCTGTCGCTACTTCGGGCAGGCGTGTGGGCGTTGGAAAAGGGACGTCTGTCGATGGTGCGACGCATCCCACAAGCGCCTTTGCTGCCTTTGGGGAGACACGAAACGTACGTGCCAGCCGTTGGCGCGCTGGATGAACGTGTTGCCACGATGCTGCGATGGCAGCCTCGCGCGCCACGCCGCCCCTGGTTTGGCAGTCGTGCGGACTGTGGGATACTTGTCAATGGTTTGCCATGCATAGACTCAAAAGCTCGCTCATCGGGCCTTTCCTCACGAAATGTGTGGGTTTTCTTTGGGGTTAATGTTGTGTCTCAAACATTGTGCATGCGTGGGTGTAATACTCCTGGTACTTGTAGGCAAACTGATGCACGTCGTGTCCTTTGTCTTGAGGTATGTCCTAGTTGCCTTGAAGTTTTAAGCGTGTGCTCAGATTACTAGCCTCGGCTGGCAGTCCTGCATGGGCTGGGTGAGTTCTTCATTGTTGCATTGCTGAGCTGTCCATCGTTCAGGACTGCATCGTCTTGTTTCAGCTATAGGACGGTTCTTTTAAATGAGAAATATTCCTAATTGAGACACGTTGCATGCCTTGGAGTTTAAATACCCGCCCCCAAACCCTCCCACCACAGCAATAAAACCAAACCAAACAATACCGAGCAAATACTGAGTCATGGCATAGTGTAACCAGTACATCAGCAGTGTTATCAGACAGCCTTATCAGTATATTGTCATTTCAGGTGAATGCAGGGCAAAATGTCACCGGCCGAGATTCTGCACCACGCTTCGGCAGACCTGTTACAAGGGCTGGTGCTGCTACCCTTGCAGAGGAAAATATTGCAAAAAAGGTTAAATGCCCCGCCGACCTCCCGCGTGCCGCTGTGATCAGGAAATGGAAGATGACTGAAGTGTCGAAGACTGGAAGCACCATTCTTGACGTTCTCAATATCTTTGCACTCTGTCCATTTGGATTTTTTGCACACGTTAATGGATAACTATCGGTCGGATCACTTCATCAAGCCTGTGTTCAATAAATCTTTAGGTTATGTTTTTGTTTTATTTACAAATCCTACAGCTGACGGCTGCACGGCCCATCCAAATCCTTCGTGGCAGCGCGAGTGGACGCTGGCTGGCGCCATCTCGATTCTGCGGAAGCCCAAACAACGGCATGCTTATTAACCTCCGGTAGTCTGGAAAGGAAACTCGATTTTCTGCATTCTGTCATCCCGAGCCGTCAGTGACTGAGGTGACTGCAGTCAGCTCAGTCACTCGCAGAGCCAGTCAGTTGCAGAGTGACTGATGTCAGATAAAACGACCGGTGAGCTGAAGTGGTGTGATGGAGCAAATGTCCGTGAATTGCGGTGGTCGAGGTCTTGACAGGTCATAAAATGACCTCAGATGATCAAACCGGGCATGAAGGCAGTGGACTTGAGCTACCATTGTCGACCATTTGTATTACACAAGTGACTTGAAAAGGCTAAGAGCCTACCGTGGCATAACGATATCATGAAACGTGCATCGCTTGAAGGAGAACTTGGCCCACGACGTAATAAGCTGTCACCGGCCGCTTAGAACGTCGAGGCCTTTTTGAAAATTGCCGCATAGTGAGGTCATTGTTCTGATATTGTTCCGGGATTTTAGGACCAACTCAAAACAGGTGTCTGGCGTCAAAGCGACGGTGATGGCGTGACGGAGACCCTAAATTAATTAAATGTTTCAATTATGCCTTTGCTGGCAAATTCGTCGGTTCGATGTTTACCAACGTGCCAGTTGCATCATTTCACAATGCCAACAGTTTCAGAGAGTTTTCTGTAGCTTATCAGCCCGTCCCTGGCATACTGCAAACTATAAAATGTTCACAAAACAGACGTTCACGTTCACAGAACCAGCCGAGCTCAGTGCGAGCTCGTACTGGAGGTGTGCGGTGAGGAATTTACAGTCACTTGCCATGGCTTAAGGTACTTCCCAAAAAAAGAGAAATTTTAGACAAGCGCGAAGCGTGCAAATATCATTCTCGTGTACTAAAAAAGTGCGAGAGAGACCCCCACAATGATCGGCATGCTTTCCTCTCCGCTATTCGATCGCCGTTCTTGAACGCGTTACGCATGGTCAACTTCTGCGCCACGCGTCGTCCGTGACGGCTTCGGCGCAGTGTGGGTTCCTGACGACCGCGCTTTAGTGACAAGAAGAACCGTCCTTTGGTGGCAGCGAAGAACCCGCCTCTGGTGACACGAAAACCGGTCGCTGATGACACGAGAAACCTATCCTCTGTGGCACAAAGAGTCCTGCCTCTGCTGACACGAAGAACTTGCCTCTGGTAACAACATCGACTCTACTGACACGGACCGAATCCTGCCTCTGGTGATAGGAAGAACCCGCCTCTGGTGACACGAAGAATCCACCTCTGGTGACACGAAGAACCTGCCTCTGGTCATACGAAGAACCTGCCTCTGGTGACACGCAGACCCTGCCTCTGGTGGCACGAAGAGCGTGCCTCTGGTCATACGAAGAACCTGCCTCTGGTCATACGAAGAGCCTGCCTCTGGTCATACGAAGAACCTGTCTCTGGTCATACCAAGAACCTGCCTCTGGTGACACGCAGACCCTGCCTCTGGTGGCACGAAGAGCGTGCCTCTGGCGACACGAAGAACCCGCCTCCGGTGACCACAGAGGCAGATGAGGCAGGTGGCCCGGAGGGGTCACGCGGTCGGAACGACAGGCTGGCTCCGCGATTGGCTCGGATGGGGCCTGATTTGCCAAAGAGGTACACGGCTCGCCTGCAACCTCGCTCAGCCTGACCCCCGGGGATTTTCCGCTGAGACCACGTCAAGTCTGAGAGCTACAGAACAAACCTCAGCACCACATACCAACTGGAAGAACGCTGTGGAGTCCGCAATGCGCGAGATCACGCCGTAGCGCTCTCGAAGCAGTGGCGCACGCGTCGTGCTTCCGTGTATCTAGATCGCAGGTGGCCACTTGGAAGATGTTCTGTGTAGCGACGAATATAAATGGGACAGATCTGTGTGTTTATGCATGCATAATTATATGTATATATGCATATATATATATATATATATATATATATATATATATATATATGTAGTTAAATATCCAGCGTAGTTAACACGCGATAAAGCAACGAGGGTATGTGTAGTGTTTCATCTCTCTGCCGTCCCAGCTCCGCATAGTCCGCTGGCCATCCGACGTGGATTGCCTTCCCGAACAGAGCTCAAAGCGAATAGGACCTCTTTGACACGCGTCGCCAGTCCAGCCTCTCTGTCGCCCACACTACGCCCGCCCGGCGTCCGTTCGTGTGGCGCCGCAGGCTATGACCTCGGGACCCCGGCCGCGCCAACTGCCGCGGCTCATCGCGAGCAGCCCCTGTCGGGCGCGGGGGCGGACTGGACGCGGCACTTACGTGTGCATTACTTACAACTAACTTTGCACGCTTCCACTATTGTTATTGAAACACACGTTGGCAATTCGATTGTCTTTCGTGTTGCTGGGCACATGCACAAATATTTTGCAAGCTATGTAAAAGGATTGTGCCGATTATCTTCATACGTTGTGCGTCATAATGTATATGCTGCCACACACGATGAGCATGCACTGCGCTGTGGCGGTGAGAGCATCACGCCACGACAGGTGATAGACGATATGCAGGAATGGGGGCACGCACATGATTCAGAAAATACTGCATTATAGCTGCAACCTTATGTGACTTCGTGTGGCGAGTTAAGTCACGCATGCCAGTTTGCTACATCAGGCTTTGGTAATGAACAGGCGTGAGCATTAGCGAATCGCGATGGATGTTTTGGTCATGCGGGAAGTCCAGGTCCATGCGTAAGCCTGCAGGCCAAGTCGTTTCTAACGTACACTTTCAAAGGTAATCGATACTAGTTCTTTATACTTACGGGCTTTCCTCGTCACCTATGCAGTGACAGTTCTACCTTGGCATGCGGTTTTGAGTTGACATGGCTAGTTTCGTGACGATTCCCTGACACTCACAGCCAAGATATGCAATCAGATATCATATCCTCTTGTGTCTGAGCTTGATGCCAGTGAACTTGCTCAGTCTTTTACGCGCCTCCAATGGGAAAGTCATGTATGAGGTCATAGAGACGTCACGCAAACACCCAACTTCATTGGCTGTGTTGTGCTGATGGTCAAACAAACTATGGCCACTTCAACATTGGTGTTTGTATTAATACAGTATGAAGTGTCCCACCGACAAAATCCAATTGGTTAACACGCAGATCGTGCTGCTGTTTGTATGCAGGGGTGGTAAACGTGCTCAATTGTGGAAAATAAAATCGGCGACAAAAGTGCTGTTTTCACGTGAAGCTGGGCGCCAAAAATTGCCTTTGACCGACGGTTTTGGTGACGGTCACGACATGACATTACAGCGCGCATTTTACAATATTACATGAGCTTTATTGGTAACGCATTTATCTCACAACGCCAGCAAGCCTTTCTCTAAATACCCTTTACCGTACCCTACGGCCCCATGGTATGTTTCGTATATTTCGTATATATATATATATATATATATATATATATATATATATATATATATATATAACGTCCTCCGCTTACCTCTGAAGCTACGGCTCAGGCACCCACAAACAACAATTCTAGATAGACGTGGGCTTTTAACTCTATTATATTAAAAAGTTGACGATTAGCTACGTTCTTCTTGCCAGTCAGCTTCTCTCCACATGAACACAGCTGACAGCAGCCCACAGCCTTGCGCTGAATCCAATGGCCGTAAATGTAAAAGTAAGTGATTGTTTGTTGTCGTTTTTTATAAGCGTGACAAAAATATGAAGCAACCGGTATTCGTTTTCCTCAAACAGCTCTATGACTCCATCTTTCGCTGACCTCGATGCGTCCTTCTTCCAGCGTGCCCCCACTACATCTTGCTAAGCATTTGTGCAACCGCGTTCGCCTCAATCTGAGCCCAACCCTGAACCAAATGTATTCTTTTTTAACCAAATATATTCTTTATATATTCAACCAAATATATTCTTTTTTCACGCAGCCTAGAAACTTTGTTTAAACCTGAATATACCAATGGCCATGGCGCATTAAAGCGCGCCCACCAGGCAACACACGTCGCGTCGGGCTTGGAGAAAGCATAAGGTATGGTGGAGACCATGACGATGGTTCAGGTGGGGCTCGAAGCGCATAAGTGGTTTCCATAAGAGATGTGGTCTCGAGGAGGCCCGCATGTTTGGCGATATCCCCCAGTGCTACCCGCCAACGGTTTGAATTTTGTCATGCCCTGAGTTGTCTTGGCTGTCGAGGTCCTTCGCCGCTTTCTTTCGCGGTCAAGGATAAGAAATCCAGTCGTAGATGAAGCTTAAACACGAGGCCACAACAAGTTCCGGGGGTAAAAGACTGCCTTTGTGATCGAACTGTCGCATTGTGTTGTCTGCCTTCTCCGTAACAGTTATCCTGGCATTAGTTAAATGCCACTGTAGAAGTGAACGTTTCGGTTGTGTGCAACGTTTTGCAAAGTGCGGTTATCAAAGAGGTTTTGGCGATACGCCAGTTGCTGGTTACGCTGCTGGGTATAGATGTTCTTGCCATTTCTTGGCATAGGGTGTTGCGTTACGCTCCTGGCGACAATTTTGTCCGTGGAAATTCGGTCGACGGCAAAAATACACTTTTGTCAGCCCTGTCCAACTTTTCTAGAGCATTATCAAGTTGAGAGCTGATGGAAATTTACTGTGTTCTACTACCTCAACTCTCCATCAGCACAAAAGCTCTTATCCAAACTCTTGTCAGGACACGGAGGAACCTAGCACGTTTCTGTTTCAGCTCCGTAACGGACATTGTGACTGGAAGACAGGCGTGTAGCAGAGCGCGGAAACAATGGAAAAAGTAACCATAGTGCACTTTACCTTTAAACTTCAATGCCAGAATGGTGTGTCTTAAGGAATGTTTCATTTAGCACGGAGAAATGGAATCCGACTCGGCCGTACTGCCGCACCGCCAGCCCCCACCAAGGCCCTGCGACAGACTGTTGTCAACCGGCGTACACA